GTAAGAACTTATTGTTGTGGATCTGGAGAAAAGGGAAAAGATTAGAAAGACACTGAATAAACAAACAAAATGCACATAACTGATGATCTTTTAAAAATGTTTATGGGGGGAGGGTTGATGGTGGCAGATTAGACAAATAGAAGCCACCTGAGAAATATGTCAGGGTCAGTGAACCTAGCATTGTTCCCTATAGATATACATTCAGAAAAGATAACTAGCATGTGGTACATTTACATAATGGAATACTATGCAGCTGTAAGAAAGAAAGATCTCTTACCCTTTGAGACAACATAGAGGGAACTGGAGAATATTATGCTAAGTAAAATAAGCCAATCAGAGAAAGATAAATATCACATGATTTTACTTATTTATGGATATAATAAACAGAATAAGCTGATGAACAAAATAGATCCAGAGACACAGGAGTAGAGAACAGACTGACAAACCTCAGAGGGAAGTGGGGTGAGAAGGGCAGGAAGAGATCAACCAAATAACTTATATGCATATATATATATATATATATATAACCAATGGACACAGACAACAGTATGGTGAAGGTGGGGTGAGGGGTTGGAGGAAGAGGGAGAGTGTTAAAGGGGGGGGGGAAGAGGGACATCTAAATAAAAAATGTTAGCAAATTAAGTATTTTTTAAAAAGATAGCTAGCATAGGCTTGTGGTAGACCTTTGAAGAGGAGATGGAAACAAGGAGTTTGATTGGGTCATGAGTTCATATATGAATTCAGGCAAGAGATAATGAGCTAGAACTGGGGTCTTACCAGGAGAGAAAATAAAAGGAGAGAACAAATTTGGGAGACACGTACTTGGCACCAACTTGGCCACTGGGATGTGAAAGAGAAGGAGAAGCTGTAAATAACTCAGAAATATAAGTCTTTGTAACTGAATCGTGAGTCATGAATTCTATTTCTTGAGATAAGGAACAAAAGAAAAAGACAATGGAAGAGATGTTGAGTTCATTTTTAAATAAAGTGAGGTGTTGGCAGAATAACCTTGTGAAGATATTGATTAAGCAGTTTGAAAGGCAGGTGTAGAACTCTGAAGCATTTGTTTATAAGTTTTATTTTTAATGACTAAAAAATAAATTATTGCTTATTACTTATGTGTCTATTTTTGTTTTTAAGTACAGTTCTACTTATAATTAATGTCAATTGCTTCCTGAAAAGAGCACTTAGCTATTCTCTAATTACCTAATGAAATGCATGTCTACTTGTCATCATTTTCTTTGGGGGTGGGGGATGTAAAAAACAAACGAGTTTAGTAGCTACTAATATGCTATGTAAAAAATAAATAAGTATTGCAATGTTGCTCCAGTATTTAAAAACATAATCATCTTTTGTTGTCATTTTGTTTTTAACACTGGGAATTAAAATGATTTAGACTTTGACAAAAAAATTTTTTTTGTTTTATTTTTGAGAAATATGAGATGGTGAATGTGGTCAAATATTGCCCAAGGGTCAGCATAATATGAACCAAAAGAGCATCCCTGGAATCTGGCAATAAACATGTTATTGGTCACCTTTGCCGAAAAAGATTTAGGAGAAAAGATCACTCAGCAGGAGTCTCCTATTTATTATACACTCAGCTCTCATTTAATCTATTCTCTCATTAAGCTCGCAAAATCAGGGGAAGTTTTTCTTCCTCATAATTAAGCTAATTCCCTCAATCTATAGTGTGTATCCCAACACTTCTAATATTTGGTGCAATTTTCTCCTAATTAATATCTCCCTCTGGGTTTCTTGCTCCTCCTCTTCCTGGACAATTCCACCTGATCGGAACATGAAAATAACAAACATCTCTCATTGGTTCTACCTGTTGGGATATATGTTATCTCCTTTAACAATAAACTCCTGAAAAAAAATAGTTTCTGCTCTGCTTCCATTTATCATGAATAAATTATCTTGCCAATTTCTATAAATTGGTTTCTACTTCCATGACTCTACTGAAAATGCTCCCCCAAAGGTCACAGAATGACAGGCTTTTGTAAAATATAAGGGCTTTTTCTCAGTTACCATATCCTTTGACCTTTCTGGGACATTGTCACTGCTGCCGTTTCCACGTTCCCTTAGGAATGCTGACACACTGTGTTTCCTGATCTCCCAGGTGGCACACGTTCTTTCTCTTCACCGGTTCTTTATCTTTTCCAAGACGTTGTCCGTCATTTCCTTCTTCCCTTCCATGTTTCTTTTTCTTTAAAAAACAAAACTCCTTTTTTTTTTTCCTTGGCTTCTGCTCAAAACCTAAACTTGTGGATGCAAAGCCTAGCCTGAGGACTCAAAGCGAGTGTTCTCAATTTCCAGGTGTCTCTAGGATATCTCTGTGTGGACGTCCCATTAGCATCCACGCTGCCTGCGTTCCCTTCGCAAATTCTGCATTGGCTCACCTTCTCCACTCTCTCGTGCTTGAAACCTTGGAGTTGTATATAGTTAGTGTCCTCAGTGACTATTCTTGTCTTGTGAAAGAGCATGACAATTACTAAAGCAGCGTTAGCACTGTAGAGAGAGTATGATTGTGCTTTTAAAGCATATATATTTATATAACTGAAAGAATATATAAGAAGATGATAATAATATTTCAATGGGTTGCTAGGTTCTGTGATTTTTTAAACTAAGTTCCTAATAATTTTACATTGAATATAAGTTTTGACTATAAATAATCTTGAAAGTAAACAAAATTCACTTTCTCATTGTTTCTTGTCTATACCAATTTCTCCAACCTTTATTTTATAATACTGAGATTACTATAAACGTCTTTTGGTTTAAATCCCTGACTCAATATTATTTCTACAGGATTTCACCCTGCATGCCATTATAAGACTTACAATACCACTTTCTTTTTCTCATTCACGTCCTAAGAATCCAGACTTTTCATTTTGGCCTTCTAAGCCCTTTTCCCAGGGCCACATCACTGCTCAAGTCTGCCATCTCTGTTCCTCATATGGCCCCTGGAATCTCCTTGGTTCCTCATCCTCCCCTCACTGTCCCCTTCTAAGGTAAAACTCATCCCTGCCTCTGGGTTAACTCCTAAATAGAGTTACCATTGACTGAACTGAACCAAATGACAGGCATCACCAGGTGAGTATGATGATCTTCAATAGACAAAGAAACTGAAGCTCAGAAATGTTAATTTAAGGAAAGTGACATTCTTAGCATGTGGCAAAGAGAGTCAAATTCATGTCTTCCTAGTATAAAGTTAGCAATGCTTCCATTAGCCTTTATAATCACCTCCCTGACTCAGTTGTTCTTATATATTTCTAAAATTCCAGCTAAATCCATCATCTCCTTGAAGTTTTCGCTGATTGCCACAGTCTATAGGAATGGCTCCTCTCTCTATACTCTTAATATAATGAATTGTCTTTTAGACATCATTTTAGTAGTTCATGTCTCTTTCTTTGTACCCTCTTGGGATGGAAACAATCTCTTATAACTTGTTTGTAAATTTTGTAACACTAAGCACAATTCTGGACATATGGAAGTGATATTAGCATAATATATGTTTTCAATAAACTGTTGATTGATTATATTTTATAATAAAAGATGCCATTAATGCTGACTTTTCTTTTTTTCTGAGGAAGTTAAAAATAATAACATAAAAATATACATAAATATTTAATGTAAACTAATAATAAGAAATTTATAGTGTATATATCACTTTTTCCATTATATACCAACAGTAAACTAAAGCACACTGATATACTTAGAATAAAAAGTGACATAATGTACCTTTTATCTGGTCAGTAAACTTTCACTGACACCAGTAAGTATACTTACATTAGAACAATTTTTTCTATATAATATTCTATTTCTGAAGATATATCTAAAGCTCAATTATAATTTTTGATGTAAAGACTCAATATGTCATTTCATCTCTATTATGCATTTTTCCTTAAAGTATAAAATTGCCAATTTTCTCATTTAGCTTCCAGAAAATGCATGCTTTCAAATTATATTAAGTCATTTAAAAATGATTGTTGATTCACTGAAATTAAGAAAAAACAATTTCCTTTGCTATGTTGCCAGTATCTTTAAGAGAAGTGATTGTAATAATTCAGGTTAACATTTAACATATACATAGAAAGATAAAATAAGAATCACTTAAATATAGGTTAAAATTTATAAAAATGGGTATATACAAATATTTAAGACCAATGTTATGAAGTCTAAGTGTATGTAGTGTCACTTTTACCCTTTGGGAGATAGAGATATAACCTTCATATATAGATATTTAGACATATAAATGTCTTTATAAAGATATAAAATATTTGGAATAGGGTTAACCCTAAGAAAACTGTAATTATTCAGAATTTTTCTCAATATTTTTCATCTTCTTTTTCTGCATTTTCCTATTTTTATGATGTTTCTTCTTCTAACTTTTAATACCTGTCTTAAGAGTACCCAGCTAATCTCTTAACTTACACCCTCACAAAGCTTGTTTTCAGAAAGTCTTTTAAAAAGAGTATTCAAATTTTCAAATGAATGAACAACAGGCAAGAGATCATCTTTCCAAATAATCTGCATATTTAATTAGTGAGAAATAAAATGGTTGAATCTTTTAGGTTAAACCATATGAATCTACTGTTTTTGGGATAAAAATAGTTGAGTATAGGTGACTCCATAAGGTTCAATCAATCATAAGGATAAGTTTTAGGCATTTGTCATAATCGGGCTAGAGCCTCTGAAATGCATATTGTCCCCTTAGCACTTTGTAAACAGTATTCAATTGTCCAGTAGATTAATAAGGAGCAGCATATGCTAACAGCTCCAGCACTTTAATAAACTTATCCAAGATCTGCTACCAGAAAACATATAATTTAATTTTAGCTTACATGTCCGTTTATTGCTGATTTATATTTAAAATATATGGCAAGGGAACACCAGTATTTTTTCAATATTTTGGGCTTCTTAAAGCTTTACCCAGCCCTAATTATAAAACCAGCCTTGTTTATGACTTTGTAGAGCTTAGAAAGAGCCCTTACCTGCTTTCGACACCTTTTCCTCTTTTTTAGTTTCAGGTTCTAGGGTAAAACAAAACACATACATACACACACAATAAACAAAGGGGAAAAAAAGTATTCCGTAAAATAGTATGAAGTAGTTTAATAAGCAAAATTTATAGATTTTTTCATATGTTTTCAATTTCAATTATAGTTACATAGTTTTAGCAACATACAATGGAACATGTATTACTGGTAAATTATAAAGTAACTTAAGCAAAAGAACTTTGATTTTAAAATTCAGTTTCTTAAAATAGTTTCATGCTAGTCAAGTAATTTGACATCTTGTTTTTAATTAGAGTCTGTTCCATATGATTCATAAGTTTATAAGTATTTCAAATAAGAAAATTAATGAAAACTGTTCAGGAGAAAAGTGGTGTAATTTTTCCCAATTTAATCGGTTTAATCAATTTTCTATTTTCAACTGCGTACACACAATTCATAGAGCTCCACCTGGTGGATAATTTAATAATTTCAAACTGGTATAATTATTGTCTATTAATATTTCTGTTATAAATATTATAAAATACATTAAATTGGCTTAAATTCAGTATAATAATATAAAAAACTAGTAGAATGAAGTATTTTTATCTTTCTTTGTTTTAAGACAATGGTCTTTATCTAGAAATTTTATATTTTAACTTAAGATAAGTACATAATTTTTACAAGCTATCCAGATGATGCCTATGACACCATCCAACCAATGTGGTAGTTGACTGTATTTCCATGTTTCCTAGCCCTTCCTTTTGTTTCACAACTTGCCTATGCCTTATAGTTCTATGCTGGCACAAAGTCTTGTGTTGCTTAATGGAAGGGTTCTGATACATTACATATTTCTTCCCTTCAAATAGCAGAAAAACTGATCTTGTGGTTGGGCTACTTGCTAAGTTTAGACCATGTGTCAGGGATAAAGCTAGTCAGCTTTATTTTGTTTTTAGCCTAGCAGAGTCTCATTTCCTAGAATTACAATAAAAAACACCCTAATTTGTTTTACGTGCAGAATTTTATATAACAGAGATTTACATAGCTGTTCACACTCTACTTCTTGTAATACTTGAATGTACACCCTGAAAAAAGTTGTATCAGTACTATTATTGCACCTCACTCCCTGGCAAATATTTCTCTTTTCATTTGTTAACATGTTCACTTCACTGGGTAGGACATACGCTATTTTAATGTTTTATATGTGTTATAATGTTATTTAATTTTTTTATGCTCTGTAAGAATGGGATCCATAGATATTTTGTTCATCAAGTGGAGGTAACTATCTGAAAGAGCCTTACTTCTCATTGTACACACAGCTCTTTCCCCGTCAATAACCCTGCTGTAATCTCAAAATGGAAGCATCTTAGTCTTAATGTTTGTCTTAAGATCTTTTGACACATACAGATGTAGAGAATATTTTTATTCGCTATAAATACAATACAACCAGAACCAACACTTATCTTGTACATAGAAATGTATAAGCACTCTTATGAACATATATTATCATCGGTCATGTGGCTGTGGATCCTCTCGGTATGCTAGAATCACCGACTTCAGGTGTTGTGGAAGCATCACTAACAAGATGACCTCCTCAGTTATGAAGTGTGAAAAGGAGGCTTTCAGATCATGTAAACCAGCTTTCAAAGCAAGCTCACTAAGTTTTGTGACCTAGGGCATTACTTACAACCTCAAGTCTTAATTTTGTCATTGTTAAAATGGAAAAAAAATAATATAAAATTTATGGAGATGTATAAAAATTATAAGTGATGTATAAAAAAGTCTTAGTTTTTAAAAAAATTATGCTCATAAACTTAAATTGCATGCTTTCTCGAGGTAATTTTTCTTAAAGAATTGGAACTTTACCCTTGAATATGCAAAGAAGGAACTGATATGTGGGAAATGGTCAAGGATGTTTGTTTCTAGTCATACAAAAAAATGACAGCTCTCTTTCTCCATATAATTTGACTACTAAATGTATATTTACACACACTCACACACACGCACACACACATGTTTAAAGTTTAGTCAAAAGGCTTCATGGAGAAGTTTCAGGAAACTAAGAATAGTGGTTAATGCTAGAGATTGGGATCTGGAGGCCAGACAGAGTGAATAGAACTCCTTATATTCACCTTATTTTTATTGTTACTGTATAAATTTTTTCACCATAATCATAATTGTTTTATCTTCAAGTATCTGGTTTAAACATGTGTCACTCGAGCCCTTCATTTTGGACTCCCTACAGAATCATTCTGGAAACATGGACTCAAAAAATTCCCACCCAGAGTTGCTGAGGCAGACAGTCTGACATTACTATGCAGCACGGACTTTTCTGGGCTGTTGATTTTATCTGAAATGTAATTGCTGATGAACCTGGGGAGGGGAGCTTCACTGATGATTTTTCAATGTCATCAACACTCTGTTAACAAGTAAAACAGTCTGACCCAAACTTCAGCATGTCTGTGCCTGAGTCAGAGAAGGACGCCAGTGGAGATCAGCTTTATTCAGGAGTTTCTGTTTTATCTTCGTACAATGCAAAGAAAAAATTTTACTCAATTTATAAATACCATTCTTTGTACTTATCCAATTTATAAATCTGTCTTTGTTTCAGAATGCCTCTATTTTAAATATTTTGCAAGTTAGAAGCTGAATATCACTGATTAATTTTTGCTTTCCCACTTAATTTTATTATCACATTTGCTTCCACAGCATAAAGATAGATGCCTTATATTGCAAGAAAAGATAATTATTACTATTGTAAACAATGGTATTTTTGGTATTTTTGCATTTGCTACATAGTACTCACTAAGCAAGTGTATTATATTCATTTATCTGTGTTTTATTTATACAATATTAAACATTCATTTGTTTATTAGCTCTCTAAACTCATAGAACATTAACTTTGAGTTCTGAGATGATATTTTACTTTTTCTGTTGTATGATAGTGCCTAGATCAGTGCTTCACACAAAATAGCAACCAATAAATATTTGTTGCACGAATGGACAAATTATATTGTATAATTCTCACATACCACTCCTATGAAGTAAACATTTAATTACACCCACTTTACAGATAACAATACTGAGGTTTAATAATTTGTCTAAGTACATACTCCATAGTAAGGGGCAAAATTGGTATAATTGAATACTGATTTTTATTTGATTAATATTTAATCAAATTAAATATTTGATTTTTTCCCCCCAAAATCAAAAGCCTTTACTTCTAAGCACACTGTTATAAGTATCATTGGTACAGATAGAATTAAGAGATTTTAAGATTTCATACATTAAAAACTATATAGTAAGCTACTTTCTATGCCTTATAGCTTGGTTGTATTTACCTAGGTTGTATTACTTAGACAAATTGCTAACAGTCATCAAGGTTGTGATTGATATGTGCGATATGGTCACTGAGATTTCTATTTATTTCAGCCAGTCATTAAGTCATGAATCATATAAATTAGTTTCCTAAATTAAACTGGTTAAACTAAATAAATAGACTGAGCACTGATAGAAAATTGATTGCGATATCACACACACCTAGCGTAGTATTCAATATTTAATGATACTTGAAGATTTTATGCTTGAAAGCAGGTTATCAAACCTATTTTTGTAAAATATATGAAGGAACTTAAGTAGTGTCATCACTAGTCAAATTTATGTGCATTTTGGGCTGGAAAAGGGACTGTAGAAAGCATGGTAGTTAAAGACACATTCCACAGGCCAGACATGAGTCCCGCATTCACATCAGCTGTCTGTGTGACCTGGCACCGTCACCTCCAGTTCTTCAACTTCACACATACAAAGAAAACTGCTATGAAAATTCAATTAAACACTACATGTAAATCACTTCAGAACAGTGTCAGATCCAAAGCAAACAGTATTCTTTTTATTAATATTTTAAATTAAATTTTGTATGCTTTCCATACTGTTAGATAAAATCTACATTTAGATAAACCAAAATTACATTTGATAAAAAAATAACATTCATAAGTTTATTCTAAACCCATGATTTTAACCTCATTTGAGTAATCATTTGTATTTTTTGATAAAAAAGCCCATTACAACTTACTCACCAGACAAATTAACATTGCTGTACATTATCTTCAAATTTTTGTATTTAGTTGTTGGAATTATCAGTACAACTACCAGATACAACTATTCAGAGTAGCTAAGTGAATTAACTAGTTTGTAGATGCTTATTTTAAAGCTGTGGCTGGAGTCTCTAGCTACTGAGCACAATGCCTTTTCCATAACACAGAATCACACACCCAAACGCTCCCCAACACATGTTCTCTGTGTCTGTGCCTGTCTCTTTCTCTTCACCTCTGATTCCCATTAGATCAACAAGGGAAAATAATTATGCTGCATAAGCCTCTATAGCTATAATTCCAAATGCCTCTAGTTTATAATGCAAGAGCTTCATTTGTGACTAAGTCCTGATTCTGCAGTCCTTCTTTGGCAAGATTCCCATAGGAGTTTGATGCTCCCAAAGAATGTGTGCTGAGTGCACAATAAAACACAGAATAAGCCAGAGGGCAGTCTCTCTTTGCAGCAAGAATAAATGCCTCTATACATTTTTCCTGCCTCATTCTATCATTTTACTTTCATGATCCTTTGTCTTTTGTATATGCCAAATACAAGGTACCACGGATCTGATAGTGTCACTCGCCTTTATCTACCTTTGTTTTATGAATCGCTATGTATGCCTCATTATCCTTTCCTTCCCTGAAGCATCCAACATGAAGAGTCGGCATTGAAATAAGAAATAATTGGAGAAGGCTGAACATATTGTAGGTTGCACAAAGAATAGTCCTTCAGAACAAGTCCTGTGATGTTATTTGAAGATGACAGAATAGCACGTTGGACATATTTCAGGTAATGAGCCAGTTGACTCCAAACCATTCAGTGGGTTCAGAAAGTTGTGCAAAAATCCATTGCTAAAATAAATAAGCTCACATTCTTTGGTTTTCCCTCATCAAGGGAGAGTCGGTCTTTAACTAGACTCTTACTTGTTTCCCTGAACTTCAGCATTCATT